GGCACTCGGAGACATGGAGCTGTGGAAAAGGTCAGTCTGACTGGCTTTCTTTTTCCCTATAATCAGCCAACTGTAATTACACCCGACACCCACTGAATCTCAGACACTGACTTTAATAAGAGGGAGGAACCCAGTGTCTATGCAGCGCTGACCACATGGGCTGACCAGCAGGAGAATATGTCACCTTGTGTTGTCATCAAACACAACTGTCTACAGTAAATATATGCCTGCACTGGAGACTTAATGTGCTGTTGATGCTTCTTGGATAAATATGGTACCCTGTTATGTTTGACTTCTTGGGATTGTTTCTGATCACACTCCTGTGGAGGTGAAAATGGAGAAGGAATTTGGGAGCAGAACAGTCAAACACTATAATCACCAAGAGGTGAAGATAAAATAACAGGATCGGTTCAGAGAGTCCTGATCTCCCTGCCTCTCTAACCAATAGCTCAGGTTTCCCAGCTCAACCCTGCTCACATTGATGGCTTTCACAGATCGAGCAGTGGCTGGGCTAGTCGATAGAGGCCCTCTCTTTGTGATCAATACTGTGTCTGCATCACTAAGCTTCCAGAAAGTTACCTGATCAAAGCTGTTAAGAGAAACGAATGTAACAGTTTGGTCTGCTGGAACCCACAGGAGGAAACTGTGAACTGTGAAGATGTGTGACAGTGGTTACGACCTATTAGAATGACATGAGCTTGAATGTCACCCTGAAGTGTTTGGCTGTGGCTCTCTATTGCAACGAGGAAATAAAAGACAGTTTTACCGTTACAGATACAGACTCTGGGGTTGTTGTTTTGAACAGCGTACAGTATAACTTGATTATCCTTGATAGGTTTGATGGGTTTCGTTGTTTTGAGCTAAGAAAACTTTGAAAATCATAATAGCCACTAGGTTAAACCGCATTTTCACTGACTGGCATTGGTTCGACTTGACTCACTTTTTGTACCAGGTGCTTTTATAGTTTTTTATTTTCCACAGCGGATATACCTACTCATTGTAGGTGGGTTGATCAGCTGTCATTTAAACAAATGGATGTCATGCAGGGATGTCCTGTTATGTGCTAGTGTTGATTCAGTGGTCTGAAGGGTTTAACCCTAACCCATTTTTGCATTGCTTGGAAACTCAGCTGAACCTTCCACACATTTGCCTGGAAGAAAACTAAGAAAGAGCAAGTCCAGGCGACTAAGTGTAGCTTATCTAGCCTAATTTTTTCATTGGAGCTCACTTCATCCAATATCTGCTCCAGTGTTCACTGTGAGGCTATTTCCCGACTTCCTGACCAAGGCTTTAGCAAAGTATGCAGATTATCGAGTGAGCATCCTCACGCACACTGCAGAGAGCACATTTAAAAAGAGGAAGAGAAAACGACTGGTTTCACATCATGTGTTCTTTCTTTTTGTCTGTGGTTAAAACATTTTAATGCTGGTTTATAATAATGACAACCTTGTGTAAAGACATGGTTGCCGTGTTAGTTATACAAGATTTCTCTTTGCATCCCCTCTCCACACACAGTTAATATATTCCTAGTCTGAAAACATTAACTACGAATTCACCATCCTGTGGCATGAGATATGCAAAGTGGCTTCCGCTTTCATTTAGGTTAACCGTTTAATGCTTTGATCAGGAATAAAACCAGCTGCAGGCTGAAGTACGTCAGCCTTACATTGTTACATGGCAGCCTCACTGCAGTGACCACTGGCGCTATGTAATGGAATCCAAGTCAATTACACATGGAAGCACCAACCGTAAACTGACTGTATAATGTGTACTGCAGAGCACGCCTTATATCATGTCATTTAACAACACGTCCACTATCCCCGATGGAAAGGAAAAACAGCGCTGCCATATCAGTTATTTTTTAAGACCTAAAATAGACCGAGTTGTTTTCCTTCCAAGATCAGCATTGTTTCGCCGCAGCCCCCTTTTTATTTTGTATTCATTTATCAACTCTACCCTGTCGAGCTGACAGCTGTGCGGGGAAAAGGGAGTTTTTACACGTGCTCCACGCCTCTTTAAGGTTCACACATAACAAAGACGTTTTTAGTACAACGTCTATAAGTCTGTATATTGTTAAAATAAAAGGAGGCTGTCGAGCCAGCACATTACATAACAGTATAGCCTATCAAGCCGCTAATCTAAGCCAATGTGTTTATGTACAATTAACAGTGTGTGTGTGTGTGTGTGTGTGTGTGTGTGTGTGTGTGTGTGTGTGTTTGCCTCATGCAGAACTATGTCCTACTACTAGACTGCAGTTCTCACAGTTTAAGCGTGGCATGCAGCCAAAATACATTTTCATTTGTGTTGGGCTGGAAAAAAAAGGTTAGTAAGCCAAAGGATAGAGTGAATAAACTAAAGTGAGCAGAGAAATCTTTGTTGTGAACGGGGAGGAGGATTACATGTCAATCAAAGATCAGAATCAACAGGGAAGCCTGTGAATGAGTGCTTCCTGTTAATGAAAACTTAAGCCTCAATAGTATGAAGTCCTCTCTGCTGCATTAACTAATGGCTTTTTCTGGGGACAGCAAAACAATCTAACACAGCCTTCTTTTAGGTAAGGCATGCCGACAGGAAAAGTATTTATAATAGAAACTCCTTATTGCATGACACTGTATGAAATATGAATGGGGAAGTTAAGATTTGTATTATACATTCTGTGGTTTCCCTCTGTAATTCAGAATTGATTCAAAGAGAGATTCATCATTGTGGTAGAAACGAGGAATCATTCAACATTAAACCCACAAACAGCTCACATTAATAGTCTCGTGAGTTTGCTCTGAGAGGGACATTGACAGCACAGACTGTTTACTGGGGAAGGAGGCAGGCATTCTTTTCACAGCTGTTCCAACAGATTCCATGGCAACAGATGGGAGTGCTGAAAAGCGTACCTGGAGGTGTGATGTTGCACCTCTGGAAGGATGTCACACCTCTATCACACATACTTAATAGATTATATGATTTCAGCTACAACTAAAAAACACAACATGGAGACACTGTAACGGAGCATTATTCTAACAAATGACAAAATGCACCTTAAATCTTGAAGGTATTATTAATGCACAACTGCATTTACCCTTTCCAGATCTAGAATTTAAAATTCACTTTTCAGAGACTGGAAATCCTACAAAAGATATTGCAGGTTTATATCCAATAGTCTTTGCACACCGTGACAAGATTTTTTCCAAATGCACAAGTGAAGGGGAAAAGTCCTTTGTCCATACATTCACAAACCCAGGGTTCAGATTCAGACCTCTCTTATAATTCCCCCACACACTGCTCTGGATGGTAATTACTGATATTAAACCTGCTGTACAGCAGAGTATGTAATTAGACTTCTAACCAGTGGCACAAGTTAACGAGCAGACATCTCTTTAATGACCCAAGAGAGAGCAACACAGTATGCGGTCTCTATCAATTTACAGAATGTACTGTTTTCTGTCAGGAAGAGGAAGACAAATCAATGTTGTGTGACCGCCAACCGGTTACAAAATGCCTCCAAACTACTTCTGATTTATGCAAGCTCTAGTATGCTTGAGCGCGGTGTAGAATGAGAATATGAAATAGTTATTTTCAAATATGATTCAAGTTGACCCATATTTCTCTGCACACAGGATCAATATTAACCGGAGCATATGTTCAGCATGGCATCAATACAATTCTATGAGTGGCTGACTCAAAATTGCATTGACTATCTTGAGGCAATAACAGGAGTAACTTCTGGAATGTGAATCAATGGAAATGAAATGAAACACGTCATCGATGCTTGAATTTACTGATTTGAACTTTTCATCATACAAATTATTGTTGAAGAAGCCAATTTGTTGTGCTTGTCTGAGCTGCATATCTAGTAAGGTTTTCTTTCTTAGAGGATACTTGCTTGAAAAATAAAAATAATAGGTATTGGAAAAATGATGAGATGTAGGATTTTATCACGGATGAAAAATAGCTATTTAATGACTCACAATATAAAGCCTGATCAAAAAAACAAGAATGATCATGCAAGAAAGAACATTGATCTGGTATTTATGCATGAGAACATTATGATGTATTGATACCTTAGTCGAGACTGTATGATTAAAGTGATTCTACTAAGTTTGATTCCATTGTACATTTAGAGCATATTTTAAGGATTAGCAGGATAATATTGACATTCATTTTCATAATGCCCCATGCCATAAAGGACCATCTCAAATGATAAGGCTGGTTGAAGTAAAACAAGATGTCAGTGTCTTCAATATCAAAGCAGAACAAAGCAATATGTCCAGTAAGCTATAAGTCAAAGGAAGCAGGGAGACTATTAAAAGCCTGGGAAAGCCTCATTCTCTCTTTGCTACCAAGCACTACTATGAATCAGTTGTTTATACGTGTGTGAGTGCTGGGAACAGTCAGGGCTGTTGACCCTCAGTCCAAACAGCAGCCGCCCACTCATTATCAACCAGACCTTGGCTTGTCTGACCCCTCAGATCAGTCCTGGTGGGAGGAAACCTCTGCAAATATAAGACTGCCTATTTGGCTACCTTGTCAAAAGAAATCAGACACTCAACTTTTCACTCAACATCCAGAGTTTAGCATTTAACACCATAAATTGCAAGATACGTGATCCCGAATGATGTTTCAATTCCAAACATTCCAAATAAAGCCTACATGTTTACAGTAAGCAGAGCCTAGAATAAAGGCAAAGGGCAGGACAGGACATTCAACTTATAATTAACATACACACTATGGCAGTGGGGGGGGGGGGCTAGTTCAACAAAACACTTCAACAGTGTGAATGATATGAATGAAGGCCACACTTTAAAAAGGGGAAATGTGACTATTAAAAGCCAAAAAAAGTGACTTACTCGTGGGCTTTGTGTCTGTTATCTGACTGTCTGTTATTCTCCTGTGTCATGTGTGTACAAATGGTCAAGTGTTCCATGCTATTGCACAATTCATCTGTGGCCATTAATGAGGCACTTTTGCAAGACAGTAGCCTACAAGTGTTGTGACACAGTACTCACCCAGCAGCAGCAGTTTCACTTCTCTCGCCGCCTTCTCCCCATCGTCTCTGAGGTTTTTATCAATCATTTTAGACCTCTCGGCCGCGGCTTTATCTTCCTGACTAACCGTACAACCCATGGTTCCTAGTGCGCGCTTCAGGACTGCTGCTTAGTGGGGAAATATCACCTGAGAAATAATGTATCGGCTGAGTCCGAAAAACCCTTATTTAAAAAAACAAGGGCTGAAGTTGGGTAAGGCGACTTCTCTTGTTGGTGAGAGGCGACAGGGGACTAGAAACATAGATTTCCTCCTGCAATGTGAACTTGGATTTCTAACAATTCCCAAAAACACACTTAGTTGTTCAGTCACTTCACCAGCATTTGTGGTTTCTTGTCAGAGTTGAGAAGTTGTCCAGCGACTCAAGGAACTTTTTTCTAACGTTCCACTTTTAGGTAAAACGGTAGTTCGTACAGTCTAACAAGAGAGCAGGTTAAAATACACGAAAACAGGAGTTGAGCAAAAATAAAAAGTATTCCAGCTGTTGAAAACCCGAGCACACACGGATTCCTGCTGCCAGTGAGGATACCGCACACACACCACACACCTTTCAGATAATATTGATCTTCACTGCTCTGTATTTTTGTTTTGCTTTAATCCCTAGTGCCGTTAAGCATTCTTCCCCCAGTTGAGATTTATCACGTTTGAAGCCACACCCGTAGCCGCCGTGAAGTTCCCCTCTGTCCGACTAACAGAGAGACAGCCCGTCACCTCCCAGCTCAGCAGCAGCAGGGCCAACCTTCACCAGGAAGAAACGCCCACTCTCAGTGCTTCATGGGAAATGTAGTCAAAGGCGGCGCGCCACTGTTTTCATCAAAAGGTAGGCCTATTAGAAAAAGCCTTCAGTGACCCAAGCGTCAATGTGTCATAATAACAGGTGTTTTTTTAAAGCTTACACATTGGTGAACAGCTTGCTCTATTAACCAGTAGGCTACACTGTCTCAACCTAGGTTAGCCTACTGTTCTTTTTTCATATTGACCAAATACAGCAATAGGAAAATACTGAAGTTTGTTTTTTTGTATCAAAGTAGAAATAGGACTAGTAGCTACAAACCATTAAAGTTTCTATAATTCAACAACATAGCTATAATGGTGACCATATTACATATAATGTGGTATTATTATTGTGGTATTATATGGTACATATGATGGCGCCGTGATTTATATTATATAATATGAAACTAAAGGAAGAGTTGTTGATATTACGAATGCAATCTAAGTATAATGTTGTAGACCCAGTAGTAGCAGCAAGACAGAGCCATTTCAACTACTACCAAATAATACCAATATAAATAGCCTATTGTTGAATCTATAATAGTACTTCATATATTTCACAAAACTATTTGTCTATTTCGATGTTTGAACATAAAAAATATCCTATCCTGAAGAGTTATTTAACTGAAGCCTTTGAGTAACTTTAGTTGGGTTAAAAAATATAATTCTGACTGTATAAAGGTACAACTGACACTTATAAAGATATCATACTTAAAATATATGTAATAGTTTAAGCATCTGTTATTTAAAAAAAAAGTAATAAAAACCCACATTGTTACATTGAAGGTCATAACGCCACAGCTGATGCCTACAACAGCTCCATAGTGTCACCTAGTGGACTGGCCACTTTTATTACACAATTTATCTACCAGTCTTATTAAAATCCAATTATGTGCATATTTATGCCAAAGACAGACGATGGTATTATTGCATTTGCATACTCAATTTATTGCATACTCAAATATAATGCTAAAATGTCCAATTGTCTCACTAATATCAGTCATCTCGACAAGGGGGCTGAGAAGTTGTTGAATTACCAATTTGTTTTAAAATTTTAAAGAACAGTCAGACAATAATCTCCTGTTTCTGGTTCGCCACATCTGACAGAACATGAGAGATCAAAATGTTGTTACCTCATTATCTTTATTGCAACATTGTTTACAGTACAACAACTGCCAGCAACATATTAAAATATATAGAGATACAAGAAAATCGACATGAATCCAAGGACAAAAAGGTTTAAAAGCACTTTGAAAATGATTACATTTAACATTTTAATTGGACTAAAACTTTAATTGCTATTTACATTGTACAAACTAGATATGCATATAGAATATAAAGGGTATACATTTATATACATTATTTATAAATGCTGGCCAATGTCAATACTTATTATGTTACTTTTCAATCATACACATTTCAATAAATCACACAAAGATGGAGACTTATAACACTGACATCTAAATAGAGGTCCTCAGAGATCATCTTATATCAGCCACCAACACAGTGTATCCCCTAACTCTGCTGCCTGAAGTTAATTTCATTTGTGTGTGTGTCTTGTGAGGTTTAGATGGGTGTTTATGTTTGCATCATTGAAAAACTCACAAAGGTCAAATTAGGAACAGGAAGTTGGGGAAAAATATAAGTATTGCATTCGTTAAACAACACCACACAATATGTTATGCCCCAGTGGCCGATTTACACGATTCACTCCGCATACAAATACATAAAGACAATATCTAGATGCAATGGTAAACGAGGGATTAAAAAAAGTTTGTTGTGTAGCAAATTGACTGGACAATACTCACATAGCCTTTCAGCACTCACTGTACTCTGATGTAACGGAGTTCATTATTAAAATATATTGATATTCAGACAAGTAAACCAACTCACTATCAAATCCGAGTTAGTAGGTTTCTGTCTGCCAAGAAGCAGCAAGGAAGTCAGAAACGACCCAAACTATACCACTGATCATACGCCACTGACTATAAATGATTTATATATTAAGAAAAAAATATTAAATCAATAATTTGACAGTTTGCATTTCATCACTGGTCAGATTCAATCGAATAAACATTAAACATAAAGTTTAAAACAACAGCGAAACTATCAATAGAGGGAGACAAACACTTGAATTATACTTCTGATCAGAGTATAGGTCCAGGTTTAACAACACTAATGAATATACGTAGGTACTATAGTTCAATTACATTGGAGCCATGTTTTCTTTTATTAACAACACGGACACTTGAACACCTCCAACAGTACATCCAATTCATTATTTGTATCTACAGAAGGACCAAAGGGGGAACATCATGATGGCAGGGGCTCACAGGTGCACTAACCTTAAAGTTATTTCAAGTAATGTTTGAGAAGACATCCATATTATACCATCAAAACATTTGCTAATTTTCTCGTAACCTACATTAGATTGATTACTTCACCAAAGATTTCGGTTTACAAAAGATACATGCCCTTAAATCAAATCTGACTAATATGTGAATTCTTCACATTTGCTTTGTTCAACTTGTTAATGGCTACAAGAAGTTGTGCTTATCAAATGGAAAGTGCTTTTGCTAACCAACAACTTTTCAAGATTGTTAAAGAGACAGAAGTCCCATGTCTGTGTCATTTGTGTTGGGGATCAAGCTTGAGCTAGACACTAACATATTTGCCGGCACCAAACTGTTGCTAACGACTTAATTAAGTGACCCTATTTTTATTTTGTTATCTCTGATCACTTCCAGTACATGTTCATCATACAGGTAAAAATGCTCCCTTCTCGTTCATTAAGAACACTGAGTGGTAATTTCTCTTCTTCTCATATATCACTTATACAATCCACCTGATAAGGTTTAGTACCATTGTATCACTTTAATTTACACAGTCATACTTGGAGAAAACTGTGTATATCTAGGCAGTGTTTTATGTAGTGATCTAGAGAGCCAAGAACCATTAAACAACGGCCATAACCTGAAACCTGCCTCTCTCATATTGATCGCCTCAGAAAGACCTAGCTGAAGATTATCAGTCCATACTGCATCATCTGAGGTTTTCATCAAGTGCTTTATAATAATAAGAAAATATACATCTTGATCATATTGTGTATGAATGTTAGAATAAATGTGCTATATACCACATACTTTCAGTGGTTGTACACCCTGCTCTGTCAGAGGTGGTAATGATAACACCTCCAAACCTTAAAATAACCACCAGCAGCACAACTTAGTGAAGTGAGCTAAAGGCTGCACACTTAAAAGAAGCAGCTCAACACTTTCCGGTATGTATGCTAAGCTAAGCAGCTAGTGTTAAGAACTTTCTCTGCAAGAAAAGTATTCACCAATCTGTGAAATAAATGTTCACTTTTCTCTGCAGTTGCAGTGTGGCAAATATGTAGATGTTGAAATAACTTAATAATAATAATAGACATCATAGATAATTAAACATTATAAAATAATTGTCTATCATTCAATAGATTTTTGTCAATCTACAGTTAAAATGAGGGGCCTCAGGTTGTGTATTATGTGTCGAATAGCAGTTTTCAGATCAGATACCATGTTAGGGACAACACAGAGTTGGTAAAAGGCGGCATATGCTCACAACCAACATCACAGGGGAAGGCATATAAAGACAGCAGCTTTGTAAAGTGTTGCTTTATATTCTCTTACATCCACCTATCAAGGCACAGCCTTCAAATGTCAACAACCTATTAACAACTTTCCAGGAAAGTCTACTGGAGTGGATCGGCAGTCCCTGTTTGGCAGGATGTACAGTACAGTGTAATGTCATTAGGGTGAGAGCTTTTGTGGAGAAATTGAGAGCCTTCCTGAACTTTAGACTCCTTCTCTGTGGCCGAAATTCTCTAATGGAGGAGATAGGGCATCTTCAACGTTGAACATCACTCAAAGTAAAAACTGTAACATTACAACATAGATCTAAATCAACAATATAGAACCTGAAAGAAAAACATGGAGAGTGGTGCCTAGTGACCACTGCTGGCATTGCTGGAGCCAGATGTCCAATCCATGATGATAAAGCTCAGGCTCATGATCATAAACAGGACGCCTATCGTAGCAAAACAGACGGCCTAGAAGAGAGGAGGAGGGATTGAGTTAAAGACAGTGACAACAGGATGGAGAGATGCATCCTTTTCCTAATATAACAATATTTACAGTGACGTCCATAGTAAACCATTGAATACCTGTGTAGCTTTGACATATGTGTAAGCATTTGAATAACATCTTACATTATTAAATAGAAATAGATGTACAGTGTTTAACATATAAATATCATTACAACTGTAAGCATGTTGTACTATATACTGTCTTATAGGCCTAAATTATATAAATAAATGGCATTTTCCGTTATTTTATATACTATACATTTTTTATATTTATGTATATCTGTATATAGCATTTATAGTTACATGTTTTTTTAATATATGTGTATTTCTGTGTATATGCATTGAGACTAATGCTAAACTGTTAAATTCCTTGTATGTTTGCAAATACTTTGCCACTAAAGCTGATTCTGATCATTTAGCACATGACATGTCTGTTAAAGCTACAGAAAACTGAAGCTAACCCTAAAATAAAAACAACTGAACTTAATTTCCTGGCATTTTAAAGATATGCTTACCATGACTTTGGGAAATGAGGTCATTGGCTCCTCTTCTTTGGGTACGATACGAAGGTAGAAGACAGCAGGGAATATGAAGATGAGACAAGGGGCAGATGTGGCACCTGGAAAATCGACAAAAAGCCCAAGATTATTCATGACACTAATTCTCAATAAATTCTCTGTCCATTCAGTTCTCATTAATTACTGCTGGAAGTCCAACAGCACTGTGTGATGATATGGAAATTAGTATGAAGGGGGAATGAAATGTGTTTATTTGCATGCAACTCTTGTGGAAGCATTCTGCTCTTTGAGTTGGAAATGATGAGCAAAACATTAAAAACAGACTGTTTCTGGAACATACAGAAAGAGGTTTGATATTTATGTGAAAATATAAAGGAGAATGTAAATCTGATCTATGTTGTCAATAGGGTCTCTAAATCAAAACAAAGACGTTTCAATACATCCTGTGAGTTTGACAATACAGTCAGCCTTCTTCCGATTAAGATTACTCTAGTGTTCATCATTCAGGATAGTTTTACTGGGAGTCTAATTTTCTGCATGGATTTGGAGAACCCACTTAGTGAAACTGGTCCAACCACTTAATAAATCACTTCTAAAATCAGTGTTTCTCCCAAGCATAACTAAAGATCCAGACATCCCATGACTATATAGTTAAAATCAACATAAATAAATACAAATATACTATAAAAATGTGACTTAAAACTGGATAGAAAGTAGATGTATGGCAGCTACTGACAGACAACCACAATGCTAACGCAACAGCATTAGAGGCCACCAACTGAAATGAACAGTTATCTTGTTTAAAATGAGTAACTTCTCTAGGTTTGTAAGTAACATTTGTGATAATGTAAGTACACAACTTCACAAAAATATATAGGATAGTTTAGTCATTTGTAGATATTTGAATGCAGAAATGTTCCATAATATATCTTTAGAGATCACTGGGCACCCTCTACTAGTAACTTGGTCTGTCTAAATGTTTGTGTTTTAATGCATCAAAACCACCCATCTCCCAGGGTTCGTCTAACCTACCGATGATCCCAAAGATACCCAAGATGTTGGGGGCAAAGATGACCAGCAGGTTGATGAAAGTGAGCAGAACAACTGCAATGGCAATGTGACGTGGCCAGTTGAAGGTTTTGTTGGGAAACGCCATTTGATTTATTGCTCTCCGTACCTTGTGAAAACAAAAAAAGGCAATTGTCATTGGATGATGAAAAAATAACTGCTTTAAGGTTTTTCCAAAAGTGAGTGTGAACGCTGAAGCTGTACTTACAGGAAAGAGCACAATGGGCACAGTGAGTGTGACAGCCGTGAGCACAGCCACGCGCACGCACAAAATCAAACTGTCATACGGATCGATACGACTGTAGGTGTGAAGCAGCTCTGCTTCCACTTCACCTGAAAGAGATCAGAGAGGAGGAACATAGAATAGGTTCTTCTAAGACCAGCTGGTAAAACATCGTTTGTACTGAATACATATTCATTCATAAAGATATATAAGTATGTAAGTATAATATGAATATTAACTAGTATGTTTAAATCTGTATAGCAATAAGAACAATGTAGAACTTGGACTTTAATCACATCACAAATAAAGGTTAAAATAAACTACTATTCTTATATATCAAATAAAACCTACATTATTTCATGATGCATTTTCTTATGCAACAAATGACATTAAGATCTACCACATGACCACTAGAGGGGGTAGAGGCATCATGATGCTTTTCAGTCTTCAGGACTAATGTTCTGCAAGGACTTACTGTGTCTTATCATGTATATTATATTGTAATAATGTGCTAATATCCTTGTATCCTCTTTTGAAAGCAAATCACAAGAATACATAAATAAAAATAAGAAGCAAATGAGGATGTGTATAAGACAGATAAAGAGACAGGATATTCTGCATTTGGAGGAGGACAAGGCCTCACCATAGAAAGTTAGGTATCCAAAAAGAGCAGCGAGGAAGTACATGCAGTACATGACTGCAATGGAGATGTTGGCCACATGCTGCATCTTTTTCTTGGTGGGACTGAAATCAGAAGATATTGCAATGTGATGTCACACACGCAAACATAAACCAACACACAAGCACGCACAAACACGCATTCACAGAAAAAATACTGTATATGCCCTTATAGAAAGCATTTAGCCGAGTTACTAATAAAATACCATCTTCAGCTGCAGGCTACATTAGATGCAGGAAAATTACTCTATAACACATCCCTTTTAATCTTAGGAAAACAAACAACAGCAGTTCAAAGCAGGATGATACATTTGAAATTACATTTTTAAAAACATGCTACATTGTACAAGCAGTGCCAACACATTTCAAAACAAAGTTAAAGCAGTGCATGTGACTAGAATATGATCAGCCAAGCACAAAACAGAAACAGTGGCTTTCATCTTTGTTATGCAACTGATTTCTTGTCCAAAATGTATCAGGGGTTTCCCATCATGAGAACATACTTGCGCAGCTCTGTGTAGATGGGCAGGACCTCGGGGTGGCACACAAAGGCGAACGCCAGGATGGGGATGGTGTAGGCCGTCTGAAAATGAACCCCAACAGGTCACCATAGATACAGCAGCACCATCCCAGACGTCTTACCACCAACCTCGCGCTTTACAGCCCATTACTCCCTCGGACTCATCACAGAGAGCTAATTGTTTCCCTGTGATTAACTTGGGCCTGGCTGAGCACCAGTTTTAGCCTTTTTAAGAATGCCTTACTCGTAAGCTGCTAAGCAGCTGGGATTGGTCGCACTAGCCCGGGTTAAGTAAGCCTCACACATCTTTAAGGGATGCTAATAAAGACTTGATAGGAGCAATACGTTTTTGCTTATGCTCTGAAAAGGGTACCACTTTACAATAAGACCTTATAAAGCCCTTATAAAGAGTTTACGAATAGTTTGTAATTCATGTATTAATAAGGTTGTGAAAACTTTATAAATCATTAATAAGCTTTTATAAGACATGAGATAAACAGGGCACCTGTGACCGGTTGCTTGCCAAATAGTGAGCCCACATTTATCTGTACTGCTAATCCTTATATTGGCCACTTAGCTTACTTCGTCTCCTTCATCAGCCAGCATCCTTGGTATCTGTTGTTCACAGAGTTGATTCTCGCTAAGTAGCCAATATAAGGCTTAGTCTTCTTGCCAAATAGCGAGCCCACATTGATCCGTACTGTAAGTAGCCAATATAAGGCTTAGCCATCTTGCCAAATAGTGAGCCTGTGTTGATGTATGAAAACTATGTTAGGACTGGTTTATAAATGGTTCTTGATGATTAATAAAGTGTTTACAACCTAATTCATAACCTAATTATAAACCCTTTATGAATCCTTTATAAGGGTAGTCTTATTGTAAAGTGGTGCCCTGAAAAGTACAATAGTTTCAATTAAAGTAATGTTATGATACAATGGAATAAATGGAAGGATCTAACTATGAGAGACCTTCTACAGTCCACTCCTGTTGTGAAGGTAAGTGCCAAGTGTTACAATTAAGGGTACTTAGAGAAATGTCAAGTCATTCCCATTTCATTCATTACCCATCTTTATGGTCAACAAAGGGCAAACTTGATGATCTCACTGTTAGTACAGAATGCCAAAGCAATTTATATTCCTCTGCAGGAGCAGACAGCTCAGGGGTCACCGTAAGTCTTTGAGCCTTGCATTAATCACAGACTAATGTCAACCATTAACAGCTTGATAAAAGCCCCAATCTCCTCCTGAGTTCAACTGAGTGCTTCAATCCAGGTGCGATTTCCATGCTTGCATTGTGAACTGTCACTGGCAACATGCTGAAGATGACTAAAACATAAGTTGTTGGCTGTCAGTGGTCATGGCAGTGGAGGTGGATTTGCACTTTCAGACTGAGTGACATGCGTTAAACCTACTTGTGAGTTGAGGTTGGCCATTTTTGGAATACAGGAAGGATCCGGATTCCCATCAGGATCCATGGCACTGACATTCAGCATACTGACAGTGCTATTGAATGCAAAGTCCGAAAATGGACACGGGGTATTGAACTTCTTGTAGATGACCTGTGCAAGGCAGACGAGAGGCGTTAAGAAGAAACAAAGGCTCTGAGACATGGCTAGCATAAAGACAGGCAGAAAATATGGCACAGAAAAAAAGAGAGAGAGGGGTTGGGGGAGAGAGAGAGATTCATGGATTACAGCCCACACAGCCAAATCTAGGTCAGAGAACCGACACAGGCTGGAACTGCAGCCTGCAAACACTAGTCCATGGCAATGAGAGGAGTGGGGAATACTAAAGAGATGATGGGATGGTGAAAGAATTCTTCTTACAGACAGATCCCATTGCATCTGAATATGCTGCCTTGATGTTTCTGCCAACAGAATTGAAACAAGAAGAAAGACATCATGTCTAGTTAACATGCAGGTATACCAAGAGGCAGAGGACGTACCGAAATGAGGAAGAAAACCATGCAGCTCAGGGAGAAACCACTGGTGTATCCCAGGTATCCTAAAACACAAACGCTTCATTAGCATGTCTCTTTTTTAGGATAACATGGTTATGCTTATTCTCAAATAGATTACATAGAAGGCTTATATGAAGAAAATGAAGATGAACTCTATTAACTAATCACAAGTGAGTTAAATATTGCTACTGAACTATATCTCCTGCTGTATGTTCTTCAAGCCTTAAGGTGAGCTACACTGATTTACTGTTCTTTGTGTCAGAACTGCACCGACTGGCTGTTGTTCTTGATGTCTCGGCAGGAGACAGACTTCTTAAAAGAGGTCAGCCAATACGCCTTCTTATTCTCACTTCCAAACTGTCTCTCTCTGCTTTTCTTCCACTTTCCGTCTGTTTTGTCTCATGTACTTGCTCATCTGAAGCACTGTCACACAGACCAGTCACATGACACTCAACCAACCTTGCAAAAGCACATTTGAGTGTAACACAGGCTTATTATTTTTAAGAGAGGAAACATTTGGCAACCTATAGCAGCTTGCTGCCAATTATCCGGCATGGCTACTCATTGAATTCAGGTGTGACTTAAAGAAGCAGGGGCATAAGCCATGTACCAAGGGACATCTCAGGAGGACAACATTGGAATTGGTCACGGAAAGAAGAAGAGAGGGAGGGAGGAGAAAGACTCTTCCAGGAAAAATACATTCAATAAGGCAAAGTTTAGCTCTAACATGTAAATGAGCAAGCCCTTAAATAAAAAACGAACACATCCATGCGTGGTTCTAAATTGTTACTGAGAAGGTCACTGAATAAACCTTTTCTGCATCAAGCCCTGCAGGATATTGGGAAAATGAATATCAGATACTACTCATATTTGTCCTCAAAAGTTTTGCTGCTTGCCTTTGGTGGCTAACGGTAAATGGACTGCATTTATATACCTATTTTCCAGTCTTTATAACACCTCAAAGCGCACAGTCACAGGTGGCACCTTGCGTTGGGCCACCATGCAAGGTGTCACCTGCTCAAGGTAATACCTATGGGTAATACACATTCATGCGCTATTGGGTGTCGGGAGCAATATGGGGTTATGTATCCTTCCCAATGATACATGGACACGTTGTGCTTCCAATTGTTAGACGACCACCACACTACCTTATAGGTGCTACCTAAATAAACGTGCCTTGCCTTGTGCTGCTATCATAATAGCTTAGCATTTTAGCTAAATGTTATATAGTAGTGCTAAATGTAACACAACACCAGATTTACAAGGAATCCCTGAGTGAAACACTACTGATCATCCCACTAAAGGAAGGATGTGATATTATATATACTCACCTAGCTGTTTCATGAGAGCCAGAGGAAATATTATTGCAACAGAGACAATCATCACAAGGTAGTTCCCGTTCAGGTACCATTCACTGCAGAGACAGAAAGACACAAATAATACAACTCATCGATTAGGAAGTACTCTGCTTAAACACCCCTCTCAATCTTAATCCTCTTGAGCATTTGCAATGCATCAGATATTGATTTGGAAGACACAGGGGTAAAGTGGGTGAACAGCTAGAAAATCAGGTACACACAAATAAGGCACACTGTGTAAAAAACGGATTTAATTAATGAGGTTTTTTGTTCTTTCCATCACCACCAATATGCCAAATCGAAGAGTTAGAGTAGAAAATAAGCCTCTTTGTACCACTGGACACCGAGAACCCAGGCTGGAACACAGAGATCATGTCCTGTGTTGTTTATGAGAGTGTTTGTAGTACAGGTTAATATCACACACAAATTGCACATTTGCGATTATCTGGACTTAATATATTTTCCATTGACTACAAAAATGATTCAAACACAATAAGGAGGCCAAACATACGTCCACCAGAATTATGATCCTGTGTTGTGTGGAGAAGGCTTTGAAACAGTGTTTAAAGGTTCACATTTGAGATGTAAAAGTAATTATCAACATATTTACAATATCTTTTTTTAGGGCTAATCAAAAATGGATTAGAGGTGTGGTGTTGCGATGGGGGATACCGACCTATGACCACCTCAGTGTGTTAAAAGTCTTAGATACAGCCCTGTTTAGAACTTAATTACACCATCACACTATAGGGTATGATTGAGTGGTTTCATAATGGCGAGGCTGGCTGACTGCGAGTGTATTATTATTGACTTATTAATTGCACTAGCCATACACAGTTTAACAGCATGATTAATACAGTATATCATTATGTGCTGCAAAGCAATCAATTTACTGAAGAACATCAAGAGAGAACCCATTAAAGGGAAAAATTAACCAGAAAGGAATTCCTGGTTTGGGCTAAACCAAAGTAAATATAATTTACTTGTTATGCACCTTGAGGTTATTTTTTTTGGTTTCCATTGACTGACACAGAGTCAAGTGGATACTCACATTCGAAGTATAAACATTGTTACTAAGTGTAGGACATGAGTAATAGATGTTTGGCAAAAAAACATGACAAACAGACTCCAATGACACAACCTACCACATGTTACTGTCTCATGCACAGCCACGCCTAAGTAATATACCTCTGTGAGCTATTTATAGACTGACACAGAAGGGGGGATTGATTTCATGATTTCTATCAGGTGGGAGGCTTAGCAGAGATGCTGTTGAACACACACACACACACACACACACACACACACACACACACACACACACACACACACACACACACACACACACACACACACACACACACACACACACACACACACACACACACACACACACACACACACACACACACACACACACGTGCACACACACACACACACACACACACACACACACACACACACACACACACACACACACACACACACACACACACACACACACACACACACACACACACACACACACACACACACACACACACACACACACACACACACACACACACACACACACACACACACACACACACACACGTGCACACACAAACACCTGTGCACACACACACATGTAGTCACATACACACACACACACGCGTGCGCGCAGAAAGAACAAGAGCACATCTATCCCGTAGTCGTCCTGCCCTCCGGCCATCTGGACCAGGGTCGCAATCTCACCAACACTGATACACACATGCTCACAAACATATTTCACAAAAGCACAATCACTAATCATCACAAACAGTGAGTTGATAAGAAAATATAAATGTACCCTGATAAGCTAGTTAAACCAACACACACAAAGAGACAGCCTCAGGTGTTCATTGACCAGTGTCAGCAACACACATGTAGACTCAAATCCCTACACTGCAAATGTAGATAAAACAAAGAATGGAAATGCTTGCATGTGAAAAGATGCTTTAAAGATTCAACTGGAAAAAATACATTTATAATTATTTCTTCAAAATGAACATTTTCAAGCTTTCAAATAAACATTGTATAACTCGGATATTTGCGTCTTACAAAAATGTAAAATTGTATATACCGTAGTATGATTATCTATAGATGCAGTCGACTAAAACTGAAAACGCTAAGCTGTAATTCATATATGTTATAAGCTTTATCATTACAGTGTTATTCCGTTCTATTATAAAAGTAGTATTAGTTATAAAGCTATTTAACTCTATTGCATTGGCTTGTGAGGTGTTATTTATGTCCAGTTTAACAATATAAACACACATAGAATGTCACTGGGTCAATCTAGTCTGTCATTTCAAATAAACTGTGATCGTTGACCATGGCCCACAGCACTGCTTCACAAAGCAAGAGAGAAAACATGGAGGACATGTTGTCACAGTATATCACTTCTACAGTATGGTGAATGGTGACTAAATGTAGCGGGACACATTCATCTCAACATTTATAAGCAAAGCGTGTTGCAGAGCATCCATTTTTCTCAATAAAGGTGGAAACCAGCACAGCAGTAATATATACTAATATAGTATACTAATATAGTATACCCCCCTATAACAAACATTTCTCAAACCCAAAGAATATGTGAGGAGAGGATCTAACTGGGGTAAGGGTTAAGGTGTAAGGGGGGGAACATCCCACTCCCAATTATTTGTTTCTGAGGCCACCTGCACCGGCCAGTGATATCCCATGGTTTACGTTTTCATCCGTGGAGTCTAGCTGTGTTTTGATGTGAGTGTTTCAAGGCGGCCGTGCTGCTCTCCTCCTCCAGGGTCACTATCACAGCTGTTCTCAGGCCAGCTGCTCAGCACATCCAGAGCAGCACCAAGCCGCCAACTGGCACAGCCTGACACCTCTGCTCTGAGAAGAGCACGGCTGCATGAGGTCCCTCAGAGAAGTGACGAGATATCATACTACTTTCTGACATGAACAGGCACATTTTTTACCTTTAGGAGGCATGGCAGTTTGTACAAATGTGTACAAGGGGTATTTCAACCTTATTACAAGTGTGTAGAATCACTTTTATTTAAATCAAGGTTCATCATGATTGAAGTGATGCTGTACTGTATGTCCAACAAAGTAGCTCTCGGAGCGATTGCTGTAGTATGAACTAGTGACCATGGGAGTTGCTAATCGCCTAGAAATGAAAGCCTATAACAACTTTAATCATGTTCTTTTGAGTGAAGTTAAGTGAAAAATACGAGTATTTGTAAATAAATATATAATCACTAAATTATAACATCTAGATTAAGCTTAATTTAAGTCATGTACTCCTTCCTATAAAACACAGCGTCTGTTCCCTGGACCTGAGGTCACTTGTGTTACTGCATTGTGTGAATTACAACTTTTACGTCATGCATGCAATGGCCACTCACCCTGCAGGTTTATCCACCCTCAGAAAGGCCTGGATGACCAAAGGAAACTCATACTTGACTATGTACAGGTAACTGGACATGGCTGTGGAAAGGAGATAGGAACACATACAGTGTTAATCCAAAACCCCAGAGTTTTATCCCAGAAACCTCTGGGAACATGAACAATGTGAGTATATAAAGTGTGAGAACAGATGGCAGTGTCACCTCACCTCCAATGTTCTGCAGCGTGATGGCAATACCTGCCGCCATCTTCCCGGGGGTCCCAAAGGCCCTGTAGCCCAGCTGTTCATACGCACGAATACCTGGGCCACAAAAACAAATAATATTTTTGAATCTATACTAACAATTACTAACAAAGAGACATTAGATCTAAATAAACTCAACTTGTTGTGTCGTAGTTTATAGAGTAGACTCTTACCATATCTGACATTAGAGGGTATTTTATTGGTTTGGTTTATTTGCCCTGATAAAGGACGACAAAGAACAGTCCTACAGGAGAGAGGTGAGAGATTCCCCTGTGGTGCACTGTGAACAACCTTTTTGCCAATGTGTGCAAAACCAAGTGGTGATTATTGATTTGACAAAGAATAGGATCTCTGACACTAATGGTGTTTCTGTCTAGCATTGGATGTTTTTTAATTACTCAAGCATAAAGATTTTCTCACACTTTTAAATTGGTATTAGAACGCATACTGCATACTGCATACTAAAATGTGCACATCCACAGGATAACGCTAACGTTTCTTAGATGTTCTTGAATGTAGATCAGTGCACTATTGAAATGGATTAACAGGAAGTTTAATAGTGTTTAGTAACCTAACTGATATCTGACCTGAAGCGACTCAAGCAATCAGCCATAGGTATGAGAGCAGGAACAGGAACAGAAGATATCCCATTATCAGAGATAAATCTCATACATCACTTATTTTCACTGATACCATCAGGTAAGCGATATTGTGGCATTGAGTTACACACCACTCATTTTTGAGGCAATATGATTGTTTCATTTTCTGCAAACCAAAGGGGCAGGTAGCCACTGACTCAATTTGTTGTCCCTCTTACAGTATATCTTCAAATCTACCTATTTTTCACTGCAGGCTGTGTATATTTTGAACCTTACATAAAAGGTTTTAATGTATCGAAATATATTAGTGACCTTTGAATGCATATGAAAATAAATTCCCTATGGATTTGAATCAGAAGATGCATATTGTCAGGATACAAACATACCTACGATACCAGATAACTTCAGTAGTATATGGATGGAATAAGATGAGAGGACTGCCACCACTGTTAGAAGTACCCTGAAACAGACAAGCAAATACAGACATGAATATTTTTACAATTTTTAGCAGTACAATATCAAAACTTCTCATTTTAAACAAAGTTATATGTTACAGTTAAATACTTTGCATTCGGCTGTAGGCTATTTATACAGCTGCAACACAGGCATACATTGTCTGGATGCGGTTACATAGATTATTGTGGAAGAACAGAGTCCCTGTGGCTCTGCTTTACCCTGGATTGTAAGGAGGCTGCACAGTCAGCCCCTCTGCCCTCTGACACAGTAAGTAAGCACACACACACACACACACACACACACACACACACACACACACACACACACACACACACACACACACACACACACACCAGATGGACAGTTTTAATAGAAAGCGTTTTCTACTGCTGAGACTGAGAGAATGAGGAAAATCCTTTAAGATTAATCTTCTGCTTTTTGCTCCTTAGCAATTAAATAACCCACTTCAGTCCCAACAACAGGCTTCCTTTCCATATTCAGTAATACAGACGTCTCTTTGAGAAGGAATCGACTCTCCACTGACTCACATTTCTCCCATTCAATCATTACATTTTCTCTGTTTTGTTGATGGATGATTTTCAATGCTTTCCGAAAAGCATACTCTATTTGGCTTTCATTCAAATCATCCCAGATGAAAATCAGAGTAACATCGGATAAGAAACCTGGGGACATAAATGCACAAACATTCTAGAAAGGATCTGAGAGCTCATTACATGGCCCAACATTTTCCGTAGTTTTCCTGAATGCACTCACCAAAAATGAACCCCAAACATATTAAGGTATCATTATGGTTTCTGATACTGTCAGTAATATGTGGCTGCCTGTGTGACTGTTTGTTGTGCAATGTTCATTTAATATTTTAACACAAAGTGTTTTGCAGAAAAACATGTTTATATTATAACTCAATGTGAGATATAAAAAATGTATTGTTTTTATTTGAAGGAGATTGAAATGGCATTGAAATGACAGCGCTTTTCAAGACACTGACTAATTATGAGAGGACTACCAATTAAAAAAAAACTACTACACTCAATAATATGTTTAATTTGCTTGCGAGACAAGACTTGTATTTTTTAATAACATTTAATAAATAAAGGAGATTTTTAAGAAACATGTTGCCTCTAAAACATTTGTCAAAATGCAGAGCATGAGGACTCTTTGTGAATGGGTCGGTGATCTATTGACTGACCCAATCATCCTCGTTCCAACTATTCCCTTTTTCTTCTTCTTTTATTGTTGCTTGTGGCAACATTAACTTTCTCTCTCACACACTCTCTCCATTACTCTCACTGTTTGGAAAAGCCAGCCATCACGTCTTTCAACTGGTCTTCAACTCTTGGCCAGCTAACAGGTTTTTTTGTCGTTGTTGTTTTTTAACGGACTAGGTGAAAGAATGCTTGGCTGACTTGCGGTGGAGGATTTGGGAAGTCCAGTTTGGTGGGAGGACCGATCTGCTGACAGTCAGACAGACTGACACACTTGGGTCCCTGTAGCTCTGCTCAGCTTTCCCCCCCGCTGCATTCCTCCCCGGCCGGGCCACTGACCTGTTGAAGCCTCTGCACCAGCCAACAAAAGTCTGTGTGATACTGTACATCAGGCCATTAGGCAAAGTGAAACAAGGGACATTCTGAAACGATTATCTAGTTTAAGAGCATGAGTCAAATTGTGTTTCTTACTGTAGTCCTAAAACTGTCCTTACATAAGAGATGTCCTCACAACTGCCTGAACCCTGCAACCTGAAATAGGATCAGATACAGGATGTACTGATTGGCATTTAACCATAAATTGTTCAGCTCACGCCATACATACGCATTGTCCTAAGTGTTTTTGTTTTTTAGCTGTCCTAAGTGTTTTTGTTTTTTAGCTTTTAAGGTTATTTGTACATTTAAATTTGGTGTAAATACTTGTCTTTAGCATTCTTTAATGCTAAATTGTTTCTTAAAACTTGTTTTTTATTATCCTCATATTTTTTTAATTGTTTATATTCGCACCACCAGATACCAAAGCAAATTCCTTCTTTGTGTAAACGTACCTGGCAATAAACTTGACTCTGATAATAACCCAACGACACTGTTGATAGTTATGTAGTTATCAATCAAAAGTCATCTGCAATTATGCTCAAATGTTGGCATATGTTTACATACTGTATGTGGAGTGTACTAATGTATCTGGCCTAACCACAGTGTTCAGGTTAAAGTGAATAATGAATTATTATCCTTCAAGGTTTAATGTATAAAGATGTCTCCAGCAAGGGACCCAGTCAGAGAAAAAACATTAAAATGACCTATTTAACCAAAATAGCAACAAGTAGCATTTATTTTGCATTTGTTAATGTCTCTGTGTTTGAGCATACATGGTTTTCTCATTTTGAGGTCTTCTGTCCCCTTAAGGAGCAGAACCTAAGGTCCCAATGACACTGCTAGGAGAAATGATTAAAAAAAATTCAAGCGATCACCAGCCTGGAGTCAAATGGGAAAAAAAGAATGCCTGCATTTCTGTTCCAAATATGTCCCTGACCCTGCCTTTATTTATCAGTAGCTCTTCTATTGTCCATACAACATTTCTGTCACATACTCTTAATTCACATGCAATTAGATATTTTCATGATATATGATAATATAATGGGCTAGAGTTGATTTCAGCTCCTTTCTATAGGTCTCAAATACATTGGTGTTCCTTCACAAAGGGTTCAGCCAGGCAAGGCCTCAGACAGCTTGAAAAACCACAGTCACACAACTCAGCTCAAAATAAGAAGCTTTCTTTAACACGAGGAAAAAAATCCTCAAGACATTACTGCCTCGAAAATCATCTTGAATAATATTTGAGGAAGGCTTCAAATGTCTCCCTTATTAATTTGAATCTTGAAAGCTAACATTAATATGCTATTACCTTTCTGTTGTAGATATGAAAAATGCATCTTACCTACCAAGGGGAGAGAGAATCTAGTTTTTCCACCATTGCACATCCACTTAAAACAAGCCAAGAGTTAAACAGACATATCAAACATTGCTTCATCTCTCACTGGAGCTCTGTATTGTCATTTCCATCCTGGAATGCTTAGTTAAATAGCAGTGCTTGACATTTAAGAAACGTAATGGTGAGGGGCTTACATAAGGGCATGTTCACAGAAAAATACTTAACTCAGCCTGTTTCAACACCAGACACATCTAGCGCCATCTGGAAGAGGTGTCAAAACAGCCCATGGGGGGACAAGATGGGGAAAGTGTTGATTTCTTTCAGCGCTATCTGGTGAGATCACATTCTGGAAACACCACACTGATTACTTTTGAGAAGCATGCAACCAAACTGTTCAACCTTACAGCTGAAAACATCATGAAGGAAGGGGATAACACACATGTAAGACCTTGACATGAGCATGTTAAGCTTCAATAGCCCATCAGTCAGATATCATACAACCCTATGTATAAATTAGATTCCACCCTAGAGCTTTATGTTTGCATGTAAATGCAGAATCCAGCCACCGTAAATCCAACCAGCTGAAATTTTGGGGAGATACTTGAGTAATAGCTAGCAGAATATATCTACTTTCACACAAGAAAACTGATGATGTAATCCCTTACCACACTGTATGACAAGCATGTAATGAAGTGGTGAATCCAGTCAAATTAGCTGAAAGCAAGCTACAAGCTAGTTGACAAGCATTAATGGCTAGAGATATTTAAAAAATATTTATTGTCAATAAATACTGGAAAATAACAAAACAACTGTGATCACTCACTTACAGCTCATAGGTCAGAAGACGTCCAGTGAATTTAAAAAGGTAGAAAAGCATCTGCGTGAAAACATTAATATTCAACCTGAAAGCTGCAGTCGCCTCTGACATCAGTATCCTGACACACAATTCTCCAGAGGCTTATATATGTTAAGCCACATGCAGTATGTACACCCACTGGTTCATGGCAGAGACTCAACCACGCAGAAACAATGTGTTAATCTTCTTCACCCCTAATTGCAGTCATTTATAGAACAAGTAAATGGTTGCCAAAACACTATTAATCGGGGCCTTTATTTATCAAACATGTGCCCTGTGTCATCTGCTTCAGCGACTGCTGCTCGGTTCAGAGAAGAGAATAACAAGTAGGTGCTATTTATGTGTGATGCAGATCTCCACTGGAAAGTGGGAAGAAAATGAGTTGGACAACATCTGTTAACCGTACGTCATTCTTCCTATCAGTAATCATAGAGTTACAAATGTAGTGTATCAAAAGCAGTTGAATATCTTACAGAAACAGGACGACCCCGGTGTTGGCCATGGCGTATGCCAGTCCCAGGATTCCACTTCCCATGATCGCATTGCCCAGGTTGAAGACGGACATCCCAAACGAGGTTTTCCCCTCAAACTATAACACATGCAAGACAGATGGTAAGATCAAACATGTTAGATAATCTGATAGTAAATACATATAATGATACCATTGAGAACTGTTGATTGGAAGTGTTTGAACTTACATCTGTAAAGTGAGTGGTCTTCTTGTCGCCCACGCCTGATAAAAACTCCTGGCCCTCTGGGAGGTTGGCCTCTGCATTCTCAGTTCTGTGGGGACTAAAGGAAAGAAATATTGTCAAAGAAAAAACTCAAGATTCATCAGAAATTATACATGTTCTTTTTGTACCATGCTCTGGTTACATTAGTTGCTTCTCTGTGCTAATTTCTATCACTAAATTCAGATAGCACACTGAATTCTCTGTTTCTTATCATAACATACATACCTAGCATTCTGGGTACTATTGGGTACAGTTTCCCTACAAGCAGTGTAGAGAGAGGCCATCCATCACCCAACGAGAGCACAAAGTGGAAACACAACACCCTCAGTTACAACATAATCAGTCAAAAAATCAGGCAGAACGGACCATTCATGGATCATCATCTGAGGGGGACATTTTAATTAAACTATTTATACAAAATGAGAAGGTATTAAAAAAATATTGCAAGACAAACAGTCATATAATACTGAGGCATTTAGCTCACTCAATTTTCCAGCACAAATGACAGTACAATGAAGGAGCAAGTAGGAGGTAAATTACACCAGGCTGTCACAGCGAATGTGTAATTAATTTTGTATCTCCCCCATAACGTAATGTGAGCATTGAGGCCTTTCATTTGAGTAATACCTTTTCTAATGCCTCTGGCCAATTCATACAAATATTGCATGTAATTTCTTTCTCTCTAGGTGAGGGCAGGTCCTTCTTGTTCTGAAGTCACCCTGATGATGAGTAAATGAACAGGCACAGACAAATTACACCTGACACTTAATTCCCTTGATGTTCTGCTATAAGAGAAGACATTTGAGACCTTCAGTAAGTGGCATGTTAAGCTGATGATTAAAAGCATCCTGTGACTTCAATCGCCTGACGTAAATAGTGTTGACGGTAGAAAATCCTAGTTATTTATCTGTCAGCTGTGTTAAACTAAAAAGGTATTCCCAATATAACAAATACATCTGTATTAAGGAGGATTGTACTCACTTCCCTCCGCCCTCTGCAGGTGGTGTTTTGGCTGAGATCTCCTCCCCTGGATCATGGCCTTTCCCATTAGGAATTGCGTTCGCCTCAGCCGGAGCAGTTTCTGCGGTATCGGCTGGTTTATCTTCACTCATATTTGCTCTGGTGCTTTATTTAGTATGCAACAACACGTCTGTTCAAACTTGTGAATACTTGAAAAGTGCTCTGAGACTGAAGTGTCTATTTTTTTTCCTGGGATCTGTAGGGGGAAAAAGATAGGGGCAATTAGCAACACAACCTGAAGATTCAAAATCACTGGACAACAATGATATACACTATAAACTTAAATGTTCTATGAAGTGGTGAAGGCATATTGAATATATATTTTAAATTGATAACTTGTTCACAGACCATATCAGAACATTAAAGGCCCTGTCAACCCACACAGGTGTTTATACTTATCATAATCAAAATTACGGCTCTAACACTTATTTGGGCAATTATTTATTTTTTATAAACAGAAGGATAAAAAAGATCCTTTATACATCGTTGTTATTGGACAGCAACAATATGTAACTGTTGCTTGATATTTGAGATAATGTTTTCTTTTCATGAACTATAATAGGAAGTCCAACTCAATTCGAAGTTGGACTTGAAGTTGTTGCTATTTTGGTTTGATATTGGCACTATCAATGCTTTCATTCCTAGTTTCCAGCAATAAGAGACACGTGGGAAGATAAAGGAGGCTACCCTGAGGGCATGTGGGTGAGTCTTTATCTTCCATAAGGGCCAACAGTGACAGGACTGAACTCCAAATCACTATTAGAGGATGACAAAGGTGATGTCAAGATGGAGCAACATTTCATTCAGTCTTATTTAAATAAGCAACTGAATTTAATATTGTAGTTGTAGCTTAATGGGACTGGTGACGAATGAAGACTCTGAACACGCCACAATACATTGGAGATTTAGATTAAGATTCTAAAACTTCTAAAGAGTCTGAAAATTGAAATAGATAAAAAAAAACAAGCTCAGAATTATAGTAAGGCTTATAGACATTTTCACTTGTAACTTAAAGCAAAAACACATCCCTTTAACAGTGAGTTGACAATAAAGTGATGTTTTGGCAAATCTTGTGAATAATTGACACATCAACTGACATGTCTACGCTCAGAGGAAACGGAGCTTTCAGTTAACTGTGACACACTGGGCTTTGCATCAGGCCTCTTTTTCCTGGATATCCCGTTGTGGTGTCTTAGGTGACCAGCTGGCTTGTGGGGCCCAGAAAGGCCCTCGTGACATGTACCTCCTGGATGCAGTTGACTAAAGGCCCCTATCTGGCCGGCCCTGAAAGATCTCCTTTGCTCTGCTGCATAGTGGAGGCTTTAATGGAGTGCACGTCAGGGGCCATAGAGGAGGAACACAAACGGTTGAATCCCCAGTATTAGATAAAAGGAGAGGAACCAGCTCGGACCAGCTACGAACCAGTTCTAGCCGTCTTTGTGCCTCCATTTTTCTGCTTGTCACTTTTCTCTTGGTTTCCTCTTTTATTGAGCAGGGTTCAACATAACAACAATGCTCAGGGCTGTCTGTACTACCATTCCTGGCAACCACTCAGTTATCCTTTTCCCCTCAGGCCTCTTCCGCTTCACAGCTTGGCCTTTTAAATGTAGCTTTGTACAATATTATTTTAACAGATCAAACGCAGTGCGAGGTGAATAAACCCTTCGTCTAGAAGTCTTCTGAACCTGTCTTACCAACCACGTTGCTGTGAGCTGCCCTGCACAGCAAGGACTCTCGGTGTCTCTGGCTAAAGCCGGGCAACGTGGTTGGGCAGCAAAGCACAGTGCACAATGGCACATGTTGTGCGGTTTCCTGGGAACGGGTTGGAGAACAGTGGAACTATTGTGCCAGGCATCATTATACTGCTGGGGCCCCCTTGGCCGTAGTTCGCCAGACCACTCGAGGGGCTGAAAAGGTATTTCACTGCGTTCTGGTTGAAAAGACGCCACCTTGGATTCAGCAAATGCCAGTATCCTGTATGCATGCACAGTTGTAGAAGAGTTGCTGACGGTAGCGATGGCTGAGGCAGGGCCCCTCTAGTGGGACAAATCACTGCACAGAACCACACTGCCACTCAAAAATTCTACAAATCACAAGGAGGTTGGGGGGAGCCATTCAAGGCCAATACATGATGGGCTGTCCGGCTACAAGGGTGCCTCTTCAATGGCCTCAAGCAGTGAAGCTTAATACAGAAGACCTGATGGCAGAGTTGTGGCTCTCGACGATCAATATATTCAATGACAAAAGCAGTACATGACATCCTTGGAAAGAGCTGAGTGAAATCACGCTAAATAAGGCAGAGCTTTTATTTTTAGGAAGTTTGGTCTCCAGTCCTCTCCAAGTTTAAAGCAAAGGAGGCTGAAAAGGAGGTAGCTGAATTGCTGTGAGGAAAAAGTGTCCTTTAGAAGTAGGACAAGGTTTCTGACAAAATAAATACTATTTCTGATATCATGTATTATTTGCAAAATAAAGACATTTGTAGACAGAAATTACAGATGCAGTTTGGGATGGGGATAAGATTGCAATTAGATAAATGAAAAATATTGAACCTAGACTTACATGTTTTTGCATTGCATAGTCACATTTGAATATAAATAACACATACAAAGCTGTGGTGTATAAGGATTTATTTTTTGACAAGCCACCACTAAATATTAAAATAAAAAAATGGAGAGAAATTAGTACCAGCACAAAGACAATTTAGTTGAGCCCCACAGGCTTGAACACCCGTTACCATAGCACCATTGTGGTATGAAACAGAGGAGGGTTGTATGTCCACGAGGAAATGCTCACTGTAATGCTCTGTAGTCTGCAGACTCTATGTCATCCAAGAACACATGCAGTTTAACCCCAAGCATGTCTTATCAAAAAGAAAAACAGACGCACAAGACATCTTAAGAGCTCCACATAAATAATGCTGGTTTATTTAATGTGCCCATTTTCCTAATTGCACCATGACACATTGCAGAACATAGGGACGCTGACAGGGTGATAATCTATCTTCTTAATTATCAGTTTGATTGTCACCGTAGTGCCCTCGAATAAACAACACGTCTTTCCAAATGCAAATGTATAACATCTAAAACTAAATTAGTTGTGTAGGAGAAATAAGAATACGAATCAACAACAGAAGGACCGGAAGGAATAAAGATTATCATTAGAAATCCAATGCCCCCTCAATGATCCAAACTTCCGAATCCTTTGCTAGAGTTAATGCCACATTGTAATGCTTTGGGTGGGAGTAAGTGAGTCTTTTCACAGCAACAGCAGAGGCTATGTTTATTCAAGCCCTCATCCAAAACATCACTTCAGTGTGCCAACACACAGCGAGTGGCTCCGACGTAAGCAGCTCTGCTCAGAGACGTCATCGCACAGGGAGGCAAACGGAGCCAGGCGCTTCCACTCATTGTTATTCCTTAACTGATACCTGGACCAAATGACACACTGCAGGCTGATTCATCCTCACTACTTGCTTTTCATTTGTGTAGTTGTAATTCTAGGACTGATTACATGTGTGTTTATGTGTGTGTGTGCAGTTTATGCAACGAGTAATCTCACAGTGTAATACTGTCACTACTTGATTCACAGTAATCTGTCCAAAAAGCTTTCTTAATTGAGTGTGCAATGTGTTTCTCAGAGACTCTTAATCTGCTCAAGTGCATATGGACAATCATGGACTGCTTTTTCCAATTTGTTCTCACAGCCAGGTCTATGCATATGCTAATAGCAGAGCTGAACTGTTTTAAATGACTTTTGAAAGAAATCAAAACTCTCTCATCGCAGCAATGAAATGAAAATGAAAAATAAAACTCATTTTCAGCAGGATTTTTCATGGTTCTATCATCTAAAGCTAATTCCTCATCCTCCCTTTCTGTCCATGAACAGGAAGAGATTTACAGTAGATTAAAAGATTACACATGCCAACAATTTCACTGATGAGCAGCTAATAGATCTGTCGGGGACATTTTATGGGAAAACAGTGAGTTTGAACTTGGAACCTCTGACAGCAGGATATTAGAGTTGATCAGATTAGGGTCCCTCTCTCTCTCTCAAGCAGGAAGTCAGGATCAAACTGATCAGGTTACTCTATACTCCTGCATCTGTATAAGAATATCTCTAAAGGATACCCTCACTGTAGCCCCCATGTCATGTCACACTTAAAGCTGTGTTTAACTGCATGTTCCACTGAGCACTGTAGCTGCCTGAAATAAACAGGAAACGCATCCAACAACCATCTGCCTGTATTCTGGTTCTTCACATGAGAGTGAACATAAATACAAATGAAGCCAAACACACTTACAAAGACATATGCAGTGTAATTACTGAACAAGGGTATGCTGTTGTTGGCTGAATGAAACACATGAAACAGCTACAGAACAGTGTAGAGTCACACATCTCTGTATTGTTTACCATATCTGAGATATCCTGCTTACCTACGACACAAAGGACACGCAACCTTTTATTTTACATGGTGCTAAAATCGCTTCAATTAGTGATTTGGGTGAAATGTAGGTACATTGACTACAGTGCAATGTTTTGCTCACACCCAAACCAAACAGCTAAGCATTTTTGTCTAAAGCTCTGAGTTGCATCTTGGACAATCTTCTTCTCCAAAGCAATGCAGATTCAGGTTCATGGGAAGCTTAGTATTTGTGATACCAAAAAATGAAAAGTGAATGTAGATTTGACATTTTCAAAACTGATACCCACTATATATATATATATTTTTATCTGGCTAAACTTTAAAGGAGTTATTTTGTGTTGAAGAACTTTTAAGATATTATTTAAGGCTATGCAGAACCACACCAGTGTTTTCAATCATTCTTGCTAAGTAGGGCTCTGCTCATCTGGCCAGAGCTATGCTGGTATTTAGGTGAGAATACTGGTCTCTTTGTAAATGTCATAACATTCATCTGCTACTTAGTAATATCTATCTATTATCTAATATATCATTCCAATAGCAAAGCAAAGCTCTCTGTCTACCGCGCCATTTTCGTTCCTACCCTCACCTATGGTCATGAAGGATGGGTCATGACCGAAAGAACGAGATCGCGGGTGTTATAATTCGCTATAATTTCATATAATTAATTATTATGTTTTTTTCTTTTATCAAGTTTATTTCACTCTTTTTTTTTCACTCTTATCACGTTATGCTACAGGATCCGATATGTTCGATAACGCTTACTAGGTAGGTAG